ACTTAATGTGGACTAAACCCACTGCACTAAACTACGAAATTACATCCCAGTTTGGTCCTCGGAGGCAACATCATCTTGATTCTTTACTGAACCCTCTAAGCATCTGCCAATAGTTGCACACTCTTTAGGTGAGCTGAAGTTTACATTTTTACTGTGTAGAAACAAATTTCAAGACAAAGCTATTTGGTATTAACACATACAGCCCCAATATCAGTTGCTTATTCTATTGGCTAAAGCTGCTAAGAAAACAGAAAATATGTAAAAAATTGTGATTAATGTAAATAATTCAAAATTTCACTTTCTGTTGGCTACAACTACAGTTGAACAACTATCCAGAAGTCAAAACTAAAAGCCGTATATACATAATAATATTTTATGTACATAAGAAGTGTTATCTCATTCGGAGAAATAAGTGTTTTGAAGGGACATCATGAGCAGATTTGTACTCAACAATGAAATTTTATTTAAGTGGTCAGCAATGAAGGTCTTTTTTTTTTAATTTGGTAGAATTCATTTTTTCCACAAAAACAACTAGCACACTAATACAGAAAAATTGAAGTAAAAAGATCTGGTTTTACAAACAACGATAAAGAAAGATAGCTGAAATTCAAGCTCAATTTATTTTAAAAAATAATTCCACAGCAAAAGCTGCTTTTTAAAATATTTTTCCACTGAGTGTCTTTTTAGACAATCTTTGATAAACTGCAGATCTTGGTAAGAGTATTACAGTGCTTGCTTGTCACTGTCAAGACTTGGCTGCAATTGTACCTTGATACGGAAGCATGATATGCAGTGATTATAACCTATCCCCTCATGAGTGGGCTTCCATATCTTATTTCCCAGAAAAGGCACCTACGAGAAAATTAGGTCTTAATACCTATGAGAAAAAATGCACTCTATCACTGTGCTATGTGTTTTGGTTTGTTTTTTAATGGGAAAGTTCTACTTTACTTTTTTTAATGCTGCATTTAAATTTCACAGGATGTGGGCACTACAACCATTAGTTTTTATTTATGCTTCCTAATGACCAGTTTCATAACAACTACCTAAGAGTAATGTCAAAAAAAAAGACAATCTAATTATATAGAATTGTGCTTTCTATGCAATACTATGGAGTATAAATAATTATTCCTCCAGGAAACTAAGCACTTAATCCTTCTCGGGGAGCAGAAGCAGTATTGAATATTGTTCTGAATCTGCTCATACATCCTAAGATACAGTGTAGCTCCATGAAATTATATTAAAATTTTTAAAAAATCCCCTTCAACGCTGAAGAAAATCCACAATTTTGTTCTTTCCTCCCAATTAATTAACAGATACAGTGGCCAAAA